GCCTGTGCTCCGTCTGACGCGAACCGTCATTGTCGATGTCGAGAGATTCAAAGTCCTGGTCGTCGACGTCTTCATCGGAAATTGGCTCTGAAAGTCCAAAGGTCGATTCATCGAAGTTGACATCGCGACTGATAGCTACCTGCCCCGCCTAGATGTCATAAAGTCGATACGCCTTGGATACTTTTTCGCAGCCCAGGAACAATCCGGCGCGAGCCTTCGGGTCCCACTTGAACCGTTTCTCCTTCGGAGTTAAGATGAAAGCTCGACAGCCGAAGACGCTCATGTGTTTCACACTCAGCGCGGACTTGTACACAATCTCGAGCGGAGTCTTGCACTCGATCTTTGGTGACGACAGGCGGTTCTTCACGTAGATGGCCGTCATCGCCGCTTCACCCCAGAAACACTTGTCCAGCTTGGCATGATGCAGCATGCTGCGGTCGATCGTGACGATGGTGCGGATGGACCGCTCTGCCGTGCCGTTAGTCTGGTGCGCGTACGGAACCGTGGTTTGTTGCTCGATGCCTTCGTCTTCGTAGAAATCGTTGAGCGAGTTGGTCGCAAATTCACGAGCTCCGTCGTGTCGCACGAACTTGACCTTCTTGCCAAACTGCTTCTGCACCTTCGTGATGTACGTCTTGATGCAGTCTTCGCTTTCTGATTTGGCACGCAGACAGAAACCCTTCATGCACCCGCTGGCTTCGTCTACGATCAGTAGCAAATACTTGCTGCCACCAAGCGAGGCTTTCTCCATGGGTCCGCAAACGTCGAAGTGAAGCAGCTCGAAACTGTCGTAACGACGCTTGTCACGGTTGCTAGGGAATGGTTTTTGGACCATCTTGCCTTGCTGGCAGCCGCGACACAGACTTGGTCCGCTAGGCTTGGAAGGTGCTTTCGCGTCCTTGATCATCTTGTTGTCGACCATCTTGCGAAGCACCTCGACTGGAGCGTGACCCATACGCGCATGCAGGTCGACCGTCCTTCTAGTTGTCGCCGCATTTGCTGATCGAAAAGGCGTGCGAAGCCAGTAGAGTCCATCTACGAGATCCGCCGATGCCACCACTTGATTCGAGTCCTTGCGTGAGATGTGCATCTCGGTCCCATCGAACACCACTTGGAACTTTCCGTTCTTGTTGATCTGCGGTACTGAAAGCAGATTCTTGCTCATGTTAGGCACATAGAGCGCGTTCTTGATCTCGATCTCGCGCTCGGCACCGTTGGGAAGGACCACTCTTTCCACGATGGTCCCCACACCCTTGATAGCCGCCTTGTTCCCGTCGGCCACCGAAAGTTCGCCTTCATTGCGCTCGATGAGATTGGCGAACTTGGACTTGTCGTTACAGATGTGGTGCGTGGCACCACTGTCGACCACCCATATTCCAGACACATTCTTGTTCGTCGATACTCCACATTCCAGGGAAACCGCGAACGCTACTCGATCGTAGTCGTAGTCGTCGTCGCCGTCGTTTCGCCACTGGATGTTGTTAGCTCCGCGTCCACGGCCGTTGCAGCCGCGTCGAGCACCTCGACCCTCATCCTTCTGCTTGGTCCAGCACTTGTCAATCATGTGCCCCAATTTCCCGCAGTACGTGCATTGGCGAGACTCTCGGTCGGTGTTGAACGCCTTAGCCGCGTTTTCAGTCTTCACCGTCGCCGTCTTCTCACCTTGTCGCTTGATGTGCTCGTTTGTGAGCACTTTCACAACGTCTTGCGGCCGCAGCTCTGCGTTGCTCATCTCCAGATTGAGCACGACGTTCTCGTAGCTCTTGGGGAGACTTCGCAGTAAGCAGATCGCCACGTCCTCGTCCTCCATCTTGGCGCCGATGCTGCTGAGCTTGACACTGATGTTGAGGACCTCGTTGCAATGATGCAAGACATTGCCGCCTTCCGACATCTCCATGCTGAAGAGTTGGCGCTTCAGGTAGATGCGACCAGCCTTCTGCGACCCACCATACAGCGTCTTCAAGCGCGTCCGCGCGTTCCACGCTTCCTCGTAGTCATCAACCACGTGATGGTAGTCCGCGTTCATGTGGAGCAACATCAGTCCGAACGCAATGCTGCTCGCCTTGATGTAGTCGTCCTTGGTACAGATGTCCGTGAAGCTCGGCGTCGTTTCCCGGTTCACTACGTGCCATACCGACATGGTCGAAAACACGCCACGCATGTAGCGGTTCCACGTCGCGTAGTTGTCACCGTTGAACTTGTCGACGGTGACCTTGGTTGAGGCGTCATGGGCAGAGGACATGGTGCTTGAGCTCATAACCTGTTAATGGTGTAGAGGTGTTGGGACGAAGCTTGGGGCTGAACGGAGTGACTTCTGCACTTGGTGCGGAGACCGGAGTGAAGACACTTGAGCGGAAGAAGGAAGATTCGAAAGTGATTGATTTATCGGGGCTTACACTGTCCTCACTACCTTGGTCATCCAATCATTCTGTACTCGTCCAATCATTCTACTCGTCCAATCATGGATGGCATAAACAACTTACCATAATCACAGCGGGATCGTATTGAACCGGTTCAGGTTGACCGGTTAATGGGTACAGCTGGTACACAGTACCAAGACCAGCAACCCTCAATAAAACCTGTTACCGTCCGGTGAGTCGGATACGTGCAAGGAGAAGAACAGATACTACGAACATGGCACAAAAGCAGTTGGCACCGGTTGGAAACAGGACCTGGGGCTGCCCGACACTGAAGAAGAGACCGGAGCAGGAGAGCGACACAGCGAGCGTCATTTTCACCAAGGACGAGGGGGAGGGAGGGGAAGCACGGAGAGCCTCACATTCCTGACGAATGCGGAAAAGGTATACCGGTATTGTACCTAGTATGATATCGGTGGCTCTGCTTTTTTATATCCCGCTGACTAGAGCTACGCGATACTCGTAATACATTACATTAGGTCACCTGGCAAGTTGCGCGGTACATAACCAATTATGCTATTTTTGTCAAAGTAAAAACAATTTACTCAAACCGAGTAGTAACCCATCGCACACAAAGACGTTTTCAGAAGATCAAGTTAATCAGGAAAAACATACATTTTGGACATGTTACCAAGGCTGTCGCTAGGGCTTTTACAACAACTTAAGTACACTGTTTTATGCTAAAAAAAGTCTATATGAAGCTTCGACCAGTTTCGATATCGTTTTACCTGTTCAAAACTCGTCCGAGTACTGAGTCAGCGAGTCCTCACTTGCATCTTCTTCTCCGCCGAGATCGTTAAGCGATGTTATCAGACGACGCTTCTTCTTCGCACGGTATTTGGCCTGTTGTAGTCGCCTCTTTTCTTTAATACTCATGCCAAGTTGAATCAGTCTGTGCTGGGACTGCCGATACCAGTCGCCCATTTCGTCCCGAAGAGGGTTTTTCGCGATGTGGCAGTTTGTGAGAGCAACACACATTCGAAAAACGTCGCCATATAGATCCTCGCTCCAGCGAAACTTGTCCGCAGAAACGCGCCATAACATGTTCAGCCTACCAAAATAATTTTCCACGATAATCCGGTCACTAGAAATTCTGTCGTTGTTCACAAGCTCCGGACGAGTCAAGTTTCTTCCTTTTTGGGGGTGAATGCATCGCAGATATTGTGCTGTACCTTGGTATCCTTTGTCGGCGAGTATGGCCCACTGATCAGAAAACATTTCGATCAACGGACCCTCGTCTTCGAGTTGGCTATCCCCTGGTAGCTTTAGCATTCTCCCAATGTGAAATGACTTGTTTTCTTTGAACATCGACACATCATGCGTTGCGCCTTTGGCGTGATCAGAGCAGTTGATCGCGTACCCATGGCTGTTAACCGACACCTCCACCTTCAGGCCATACAAATGATGTTTGCCACTGTAATATTTGCCGTTTTCCTGGATAGAACCTCCTGGACGCCAGCCTTGCTGGAATGTGACGTCCACGGCGTACAAAGCGCAAGGGAAGTTCTTAAACGTATGCCGAGACGTTACAGCAGAGCGCATTGTGGTGAGGTCAGCTTGTGCCTCAACTTGATCCACATACAGTTTAGGTGACAAAAGCCGTATGAACTTAGTTACAGTGTCGGTAAACGTAGCAGTCGGAATTCGGAAGTTCTTGCTGAGGGTTTCCCACGTCCCTCCAGCATGCAACGTGAACAGGGTCATGAAAAAGGCGTCCTTTCCGCTGATTTTAGAGCGTCTACCTCTTCCGACGTTGTAGTTGACTACAACGTAGTCTCTCACCGACAACCAAAGCTCGTTGAACTCTCTCAAAGTAAACGTTGTCATCTCCTTAATGCCAGAAGATCCACCAATGTCACGAAATTCATCGAGGAATGGAGTGTCAGTTGACTCGTTGTCACCGTCGTGCAGTACTGTTGTAGGGAAGCGGCTCAGCTCTTGTTCACGTCGAAGCTGGTCCTCACTAAATTATGAGAGTACATTCTCTACATGCTGACGTACTTGTTTCTGAGAGCGAACTCCCCGCCAAGGTCTTTGAAGTGTTGTATCTGAAGCACTTGATGCAGTTGACGTTCGACGCGACATTGTCCGAGTTAGACTTGGTCTTGTATGTGGGCTTGGAAAAGAGTTAGTAAATCGGCAAATGAGCCACTTTCCCAACGGGTGACTTTATTCCACGGGAGAGACTGTGTTATTCCTGTAGATCCTGCCCACCGAAAAAAACACCATCCGTTCAGAGTACAACATGTTATTCCTGATGTTGACAATATTCTGTCATATGACGGGTAACCCAGCGGGTCGAACATTGTTCCCAGTAAATCATCTACTCTTTTAGAAGTTGCTAGCCAACTATCCAAGCGTTTTATTACATTACATTACATTACAATACAGTTATTTTCCGACCTCTGCTATTAATACTACTATAATACATATATTAGTTCATGTATCAGTATTAGAACTAGGTATTTTGCAATGATCGATATCTAAATAAATATCAGTATGACCTACTTCAATGTTTCGGTACTACTACTATCGTGTTGTAGGTAGTACTATTAGTAGCCCCTTCCCTCACAAAAAGATCTGCTCACATACCATGGAGGAGATCGGACTTCCCCCCGTGGCCGCGGACGAAGAGCCGCTGGTGCCTGTGACTATCGAGACCAAGACGGATCTGTATGCCAAGTACAAGTCGTTGGAGCGTCACCTGGAGTTCCTGGACATCCAGGAAGGTTACATCAAGGACGAGATGAAGAATCTCAAGCGTGAACTCATCCGCGCCAAGGAGGAGGTGAAGCGTATTCAGTCGGTTCCGCTTGTTATTGGCCAATTCCTCGAGATGGTGGACGCCAATTACGGTATCGTGGGCTCCACGGCCGGCTCTAACTATTACGTACGCATCCTCAGCACGTTGGACCGTGAGCGTCTTAAGCCCAACTCGTCTGTGGCTCTGCATCGCCACTCACACGCCGTCGTGGATGTGCTACCTCCTGAGTCAGACTCTAGCATCCAGATGATGCAAATGTCGGAGCGTCCTGACGTTTCGTACTCTGATATCGGTGGTATGGACATTCAGAAGCAGGAAGTGCGCGAGGCCGTGGAGCTACCACTTACCCACTTCGACCTGTACAAACAGATTGGTGTGGATCCACCGCGCGGTGTTCTCATGTACGGCCCTCCAGGCACCGGCAAGACCATGTTGGCCAAGGCTGTGGCTAACGCCACCACCGCCGCCTTCATCAGCGTCGTGGGCTCTGAGTTTGTACAGAAATACTTAGGTGAAGGGCCGCGTATGGTGCGCGACGTCTTCCGTTTGGCCAAGGAGAATTCGCCTGCCATTGTCTTTATCGATGAGGTGGATGCTATTGCTACCAAGCGCTTCGATGCTCAGACTGGAGCCGATCGTGAAGTGCAGCGCATTTTGCTTGAGCTACTGAACCAGATGGATGGCTTCGACCAGGCCACCAACGTCAAGGTTATCATGGCTACCAACCGCGCTGATACGCTAGACCCGGCACTGCTGCGTCCTGGTCGTCTGGACCGTAAGATTGAGTTTCCGTTGCCCGACCGACGACAGAAACGTTTGATCTACCAGGCCTGCACAGCGAAGATGAATCTTGGGGACGAAGTCGACCTGGAGGACTACGTCAACCGCCCGGAGAAAATCAGCTCGGCCGACATTGCGTCAATCTGCCAGGAAGCAGGTCTGCAGGCTGTGCGCAAGAACCGGTATGTGGTGCTGCCCAAAGACTTCGACAAGGGTTATAAGAACGCTATCAAGCGGGCGGACACGACGTTTGAATTCTACCACTAGGCAAGTTGCGAGAAACTTTGCTAGTGATTTACAGGATCGGCGCGCCACTTGCTGGCAACAACCGATAAGAATAAAAAGACGAAGTAACACGGTAACTCCTTCTTGTACATGTGGAAACGTAACTTCGAAGTACTTAAGTGCCTTTTAAAGTAAGATGGAGAACTACTCATTTGTTTTCGAGCTTCTTGGAAGTTTTGGAGCGCTGTATAGCACAGATTTCATCCTGAAGGCATGCTAGTGAGTAGATAGATTAAAAACAATCGGTAGGGTCAACCAACGTACATGAACGTGGGTGAGCTTCTCCTGCAGATCTCGTTCAAGCTGTAGAAGCTCTTTTTCCGATAAGAGGTGAATCGAGCGAGCTAATAGCGTTTTGTTGAACCAATGACCGTATCTGAAGGAGAAACACTCCACGAGTCAGTCTCTGGCTCCTTCATGCGGAGTGGAAATATGACCGTACTTGATGACGAGCGATTCAATGATCGGGAGCACATTCGTGTCAAGTTTGTACTTGATAGTCACAACTGCCGGGTGAATAAATCCCTCGAAGAAAAGGTGCGTGAACTGCACACAGCAAGCGATGTCAGGGAATCGCATGCGCTGGAGGACAGCAACTGTGTTTCCTACGTGTTTGTTTGGTGTCAGCAGCAGCCCCAACAGGACACACTTGAACAGATAGTAAAAGGGGAACCTGACGCACAGAATTAGTTTTCTTGGATTGGAAGTGTCAAAATACGGCTGCAGTTTACACTACCACGATATGAACAACTCGATGTATTGCTGAAAGATTGCAGCCGCTGCCAAGACGATCCTGTGTTTCAAGCACAACATGAGCTGGGTTCGTTTATTCGAAAGGAGGAAGATGCGTTGACACACCAGAGTTCCAATACAGCTGCGAGTGTGTCGGTGTCCACGCCCTTATCCACCCGGGAAAGCACCTTGAGTGATTCGTAAGCTCCCGAAATTATGCCAACACAACTGAGGATATGTTACACACAAGTCGATATCGAGCGCAAGTTACCGCAGGAGAATAACTCACGTGAGGCCTTCGCTCAGCAGATAGAACGTCATTCTGCCGATCTCGTACGAATTCGTTATGACCAGCCTTAAGAGAGCAATGATTCAAAATAGGCCACACACGAATTTGCCAACTATTAATAAAAAATCCGTATCTGGACTTATAACTCCTCTTTGAACTTTGTTCGAGGGTGTCCTCGCCATCATTCTTATACTGAACGGGTTTGTTGGTATGAATTCCACATCTTGCTCGCTAATGGGTCTACATCATCATTCGCGAGTCTCGCCAAAGCACAAAGCTCACGCCGCTCCCCAACTTCATCCGCTCGATTCATTTCAAAGTCGATCGGGTAATGGCCTTCGCGGAGTGGACCTCGTGGAGCGAGTAGCTCAAAACACGTCAATTCAGCGCCGACGGTGGGCAGAGTACGTCAACGCTAGCACTTAGTGCAAAAGTGGAATCTAATCCTAAGTGTTTATACTTTCCTCTTGCAGGTTGTACCCTCGACTGTGGGAGCGCAAGTGAGTTACTTGGACAGAGCACTGCTTTTGGTGTTTGTGGAATGGTATGACCTCATGCGCTTCGCACTTATGATATCAGGACCAAGATCGACATTGTAGATACTATCTTGTTTAGGAATGGGAGCCCAGCTGACTGGTATTTTACGTCGTCCGTCACCGGGGTTCGTGCTTTCTTGCTATTTGGCAATTTAAAAAAAATACCCATTCTAGCCAAAAAAAACTAAGTATTGTGTGATGTCTTTCCAGGAATTGAAAAGGAAGAGTAGTTCAAAACTGAACGCCGTGGCTATTCGCAAGCACTGTGCTAAGGCTTCCTTACTTATTGATGAGTCTCGACATCTTCTACGAGCTCGTCTTGTTCATGAGGAATCGGGTCAGCTGGTGTACAGCAAGCTTCGTGATGGAGAAATTAGTTTCGTTCTGAGTCAACCACCGTCAGATCTAGCAGTAGCAACGATGCTTCTACAGCCGCTACTGCCTTCAGCTCGCCAGCCCACCAACGCTCGAGGTACATTTGTTGCCAAGTTCAATATTGCTGCCACTTCTTCGTGTACGCGCGTGTTGCATCTAGAAAGTGGCGTATTGTATGGCCTACAGCCATCTCAATCATCAACACAAAATTCTGAGTCCGTCTGTGCGGTCCGATCAAGGCGTCCGACTAGTGCGCCCGTAACAGCACAAAGTCACCAGTTGGAAGAAATTATGAAGGGAGAAATGCGAACACTCGTGCGCGAGGTTGAAGCTGCTTTCAGTGATCGTGTGCGGTTATTGACGGCCAATTTTCAGATTACGGATATGCACAGGCTGGTGCTTGTTCGTGTAAGTGGTGTGGTATTTTTCTCTGACTTGGTTCAGAAGAAAGAAGTACATGCAACTTCCGTTTGTGGTGCATTCGTAAAAGGAGGTGGGGCCCAACGACGCAAGGTAGGCACTCATCACCGTTATTGTTGTTTCACTACAGTAAACGCACCGATTTGACCTGAACCTAGTCTTCCGTCGCCATAAGCAACAGCCACAAGTGCGCCGGTCGAGTGTTTTGCCATTGCACCGATATAGTAACCGCTCCTGGTTTGATTCGGTCACGCTCTTCGAGAAAGCAGGCAGAAGTGTGTCAAATTACACGCAAGGTATGACTATTGTAACACCAGCGGTGTTTTCAATGTATTGCTGGAATAAATTCATGCTCCGTCTTTGAATGTATAGTCGATTTCTCTGAGCGAGAATGAAACTGCGTTTCTGAAGCGCTTTGGAGCTGAAGCCGAGGCATCTTTACACCCAATTGAAGCCTCAGACTTGAAAGTATCTGCTTCTTGGGCTAGCCGGGGTAAGACTGGTGGCGGCCAGTACTTGGCTGTCATGCAGTTGCTGGAGCGACGCATTTTCATGCTTCAAAACACGTTGTGGAACCCAAAATCAGACGCCTTTGATCCAAAAGCCCGTGAGTATCTGCCCTCTACTCATCTGGTGCCGTGTGATTAAACTAAATATTTTGTTTTGATTTTAAAGTGGAATTTGAGGACGCTCGATGGCTACCGCATGAGTACGAGATGGTTGCTGTCTGTCAAGCGTGTAATCTCATCTACCAGGTCATTGATGACGAGAGATTCAGTCGATCTCGTGAGACGGCTGCGGCGGCAACTCGGAGACCAACGGAACTTTGTCGCTCCAAATTTCTCGATAGTGAACAGGCTACCTTGTGTGGACTGCCAGTGGACAAGTGAGAGAAGCGTGGGAAGTCGAGGAAGAGGATCTAGCGTAAAGATTACTAAAATAATTACGCTCGGATTAATCAAGAGTGTCTCGACAATATCTAACATTGGTTCTCTTAAATCTACTTGTAGTGGATGGTTATTGCTTTACATTCTATTAACCCTTTCGTCACCCCCATTCATTTCTATATTAAGCCTTACATACTTTAATCAAGTTAAACTTTCAAAACCGTACATCATGTAGGGTTTTAGTATATCAATTGCGAAGGGGTTTGCGAGCTTATTAATCGCATTTGAGAGGGTTTGATCAAAACAGTACATAATGTATGGTTCAGATTGCTGCAATATGATTTGCTGAAAATAATTGACGGCACTGATGATTCGTCGAAAACACACGAAAATCTTCCTTCTATCCCAACATTGGCACAAGGTGCAGTACCGTGAATGACAGCCTTGCCACAGTGGAAGAAGGTGGCGATGCTCCATGGAGGCAGAGTGGATCTCGGAGGTCCAATTTGGACCTCACTTCTGAAAAGCTGCGAGCGAGAGGAGTTAGGAACTGAGCGCAGAGATGGCTGAGCGGGCTTCAAAGCGTCAGCGCAGGTCTCAAGCCAGCAACACACCACAGCTTTCTCGAGGTGTGGCACTTGTATAGTCACTAGACTATAGACTACGGGTAGCAGGTGATAACATGTTTGTTTCTTATTTTATGCAACAGATAATTCTGTGAATTTCAAGGACGTTTGGAAAGTGTTACGCCGTGTGGGATGGTCCTATAAACCCTCGTCGAGTAGAAGTTTGGATTTGCGCTATCGCTACGTTCGTCCTGGAGGCAACCCAAATGGAATAAATGGTCAAGACTATTTCTTGGGGGAAGAAGCACTTGTTGGGTACTTCAACAGTGCGTATGCAGATGAAGCACCTTACGTGAAAACTGGTAACTCGGTCGGAGTATTGCATAGTGCTAATGTAGGTACGAAGAGCAGTGCGATTGATGAGCTTGATGCCCTACAAGTTGGTGCTACAGCTGGAAATGTTGCTTCAATACCTGAGCAAGGAGATATGAGTTTGGATACTTGTGACAAGGACGACGACAGACGCACTAGACAGCTAGATGGTAATCCTGTGGCTCACACGATACCAAAAGCTACTATTGGTGTCGTGGATGAACAAATATGTGTTCATACGTCTACTGTCGATGAACCTCAGCAATCACGTACAAAGTCTACTGTTTCGACTCCAATATGTTCAGTTTGTGAATCACCGTGCTCGACCCAGCGGTCGTGCACGACGTGTGGAGCATTTATGCATCATTTTTGCTCTCATGATGTTTGTGCAGCACTTGAGCTGTACGACCCGGACGGACAGCAGATACTGGATTTTGGAGACGCTTCGTTCTGCAGTAAGCAGTGCTATCGAGAAAAAGCAGCACCGGTCGTGATGAACATGAGTGGGCAAAACCAGGGGGGTACAACTGGGTTGGTTTCGGGAGTAACTACGTCGAGTGTTGCTACATCGCACAGTGATATCCACCTCCAAGGACAATCACAGTCGGAAGGAGTACTAATACGAACGAGTGAAGCCAAGTCAAACCCGCCACCTCTACTACCAGTTAAACGCAAGCCGAAATCAGCAACTCGTAAGACAGACCAACCACGAACAGCAACTGAAGAGAACGCAAAATCACGAGTTAGCAGTACTCGAAAGAACTCAAAATCAGCTGAACGCTCGCAATCGAAAGGAAAACAAAAAATTTCAAACGCAAATGCTACTGCATTTCGTAAAGAACTCGCAATACGGGCGGAAGCTACCGCAAACAGATACGTTGGAGCCAGTGTGGCGTTTTCGCCAGCTGAGGAAACCTGGATGGAGCGCAAATATTATAGCGATGTCGGCTCAACTTATCTGATTAGCGTAGTGACTCGTCACATCCTTGAAAATAAAAAAATGGTGATGGTGTGGCTGTGCCAACCTTGTCGTTTGAAGTACGATGGACAAATACCGCTTTTCAAACAAAACATCACGTTCATCAGATCGAAGAAGATGTCGTATGTCGCGGCGTAAAACACTACGTGGCTATACATCAGAACAGTGCTGAATTTGGTGAATCTTGGAGTGCGCTTTGCAGTATGGTGCCAAAGTATACGAACATACCTCAACTTACAGATGAATTTGACGAAGTACAAGAAAGTGAATATCGTGAGTGGTCGGTCTTTCGAAGCCAGAAAGAGCTTCAAATTGATTTGTGTCCAGCAGAAGTCGAGCTTATCCAAGGTATGACATTCTCACCTACGGCTTCGCTTGACGAAGTACCAGGCCTGTTTGCTCACCCCGATGGGTCTACAACCACAAAATTACGCGAAGAAAGTAAACATCTTTTTGGAAAAAGTGCAAGCTCGAGTTTCTTTGCGTTTATCCCTATTTCGTTTTGGAAACAAGTGGTGACTTTTTCAAACGGTCGTGCTGCAGAAACCTCTGGTCAACTTGGAGCACCTATTGAACTGGAAGAATTGATGATATTTCTTGGGATTCAGTGGTACATGACACTTGTCGACAAGGGCGAGATGCGAAATTATTGGTTTGACAATGAAGACTCAAATATTTTTCCTGGACAATCGTCGACAAGTTTGGCTACTGTTATGAGCTGGAAAAGGTATCTATACATTAGAAAAAATTTATCGTTTCGCCCTCGTACAAGTGCTGAGGAGCTGTCGAGTGATCCTGCAGCAAGTATACGTCCTCTGATAACAATTTTGAAAATAAGATGCTGCCGTCACGTTATTCCGGGGCGAGATGTGGCTGTGGACGAAGCGAGTATTGCGAGTAAATCAAAGTACGCCAGGCACATCATCGTCTATAATCCACGCAAGCCGACTGGAAAATATCACTTCAAATTGTATGTCTGCTGCTGTTCGACGACATGGATTGTCCTTGATTTCAAACTTCACTGCTCCAGTGACCTGAAAAATCGCCTAGCAAATGTAATTTCTCCTGCGGAAATAGATCGTCTTGCGGCGTTGACAGAAAAGTCTTCAGAGATTCGGAAACATGTCATTGAAGTCACAAATTCGCTAAGAGGTTCGAGGCGGGTGGTAAACACTGATAACTTCTACACATCGTGTTTATTGCTGGAAAGCCTGAGAACGGTTGGTCTTTACGGGCGAGGCACCGTCCGTTCTTCCAGTAAACACTTCCCGCGTTATACGATGGTTGGGTCGACCGATACTAAGAGAGGCACCATGAAGCAAGGGGTGTGCGTGGAAAAACACATCGTGGCGGCTAGTTGGGTGGATGGATCGGTAGTCAATGTCATTTCAAATGCTGATGACTCGGGTACCACAACTGTATATCGACGGATTCGACAACAGCGGGAGCCCTTTAAAGCCCCAAAATGCGTCAGTGAATACAACACCGCGATGCAAGGAGTAGATCGTCACGACCAACTACGGGGTAGATTTTCTGTGGCCAATGGTCACACGTTTAAGAAGTGGTATAAAAAGCTGGCTATGGCGATGATTGGCATCGCGCGATGTAATGCTTACATATGCCATCAAATGGCTCGCCGTAGCAATCACTCGGGATTCAGTGATGGCGAAGAGAGTCCGGAATCGAGTCGTCGAGACGAGCACCGTGCATTTGTCGCAAGCCTTGTTCGCGAAATGTTCGATGGAACGTGGAAAGAGTCTCTTAGTGACGATGATGGGATGCTATTTGCCAATAGCAACGATGGACCTACTTCTTCTCTTTGTCATGCTGCTAACACTGCTGTTTCGAGTGGTACCAATGACGTATGCGTGGCACGGGAGTCATGGATAGCACTAAAAGATCGAAGTCGAGCGCTGCGTGAGTGTACTGTGTGTCGCTTTGAATGCAGAAATCCAACTCAAAAGACAGACTACTGCGAAAAGCACAAAGTTGCTTTGTGCAAACGCACCTACCCAATCGATAAATCCAAGCCACATCTTTGTCAAGAAGCGTCATGGTCATGCTGGCAGAAGTACCATGGATATTATCTGCCTAATCTGGTCTACAATCTCGAAGGTCATCTCATGCGAAGCTCTTCGATATACAAAATACAGGCACCTTTCCTCCGATCAAATGCAAGCAAGAGGACTACGCGTTAGGCTCACGTGGCTCACGTGACCGCTGGTCACTAGTTCCGGTGTCGCATCGGTACAGCAATTTGATTATATGAAAAAAATGAGAAGTGGATTTATAGATACTTGGTTGGTGCAGATTTTTGTAAGCAAAACTACCCACACTACACTGCAAGCTTGAGGACAAACCACGCTTCGGTAGCTTTCAACGTGAAGATATTATTGCGTCAAATGTCCATATGGCCGGTTGCGAGTCATCGTGAACTGCATTTTCTCCCAGACCATCGGCGAGGTGCAAGTGGCTGCTGGTGGGACGAATTTGCATTAGTCAAGGTGGCCAACGACTAGCAAAGAGGCTACATCCTCTCGCACTGTTCCGTGCCTGCCGACAAGATGAATTGGCGTTTGACGAGCAGCGTGTGTAGCAATCGCTGCAGGTCCAACACAATGGACATCAGTCGGAAATTCGCAGTCTAATCACCAGCCACACCGTGTACAAACCGTCGTAGTAGCTACCGCGCATGATTGTTGTTGCCGCTGACGCTTCGTGTTCACATCGGTTAGGGAATGCAGCGGCCAGTGTAGCAACGGTATCGCTCCAAACGGGCAGCATGTATGACTGACGTTCGGCGCCCATGTAGCGTTAGCATCGTACAGCGTGCGGACCGGCGTGGCGACAGCGACTTGTCGGCGTTAGCATCTTATGTGTGGACCAGCGTGACGACAGCATGGGAATCGAGCAGCATTTCCACCAGAGATTTCGGTGGTGTCAGGCAGCGTGCAATGGTAGTGACATCGGTCAGTGTCAGGCGGTGGGTGGGTTAGCAGAGATGGGTGGGGGCAGTCGGTATGAACCCGAGTGTTCACAAGAAAGGAAATTGCGGAATGAGACTCGTTGGGGCTTGGCGCGCGCTC